TACAGTTTTTCTAACGATTACATCGCAAGCAACTCAGTTTTCTCAGAAATTGGCTTTCTGTCACTGAAAATAATACATTTTGGGTCTTTTAACGAACATCCACTATATAAAATGAGAAACAGTACTCTAACATTCTTCAAAAGGGGATATTTATTATTCTTCAACGGTATATGAATACACTTGTATACTCTATTTAGATGAATGTAATCGACGCGACGTAATAACGTATACAAATGTAATAAAACAACTTGTTTTACATAAAACAACCATACAACAGGACTCGCGTGTTTTGGTACTGAGGCACTAAGATTATCATGTCACTTATTAAGTAATTTCAGATTATAATTACCAGTAAAAATACAAAAGAGTCGGAAACCGATTCCAATTAACAATGTTTGACAAGTTGAAAAAGAGAGCGGTAAACGATAAAATTATCTGGAAAATATATTTAATCTGATACGACTGAATATGTCAACGTAATTATGAAAGTATTAGCAAAATATTTTCCAGATAATTTTATGTAAATATGTATATATATCACTAACGTGCAATTTGGGGACATTTTCTCAGTCGTTTGGTACATTTTGAGGACATTTTGTACTTTTGAGGACCGTCTTCATTATTTTATTTGACTTTGGTATATTTCAAGGACCGTCCTCAAAATTACAAGTTCCAAGATTGGTAATATTCAAGGACATGCAGTCTGTCAAAAGAAAAGTCCTCACAATAGACCAAATGCATATAATGCTTGTTTTGTATTTGGTACATTTTGAGAACATAAAAATTATATTTATTAGCACTTATTCTCAAAATATAACAGTTACGATTCGAAATTTTACACACGTTTTTTTTTCAACATTGGACCCAAATAATGAATTCTATTGAATATAAAAAAATATTTAATAAAAAAAACACTTGCAAAAAACTAAATTAAATAATAATCTGTATTAATTCACTGTACGTACTTAAATTAAAAATACTTACATGAATTTTATTGGGAAAATCAAGATATTATTGTTATTCATTTATTACGTTTATTCGCATATATCCTGAAAATATCAAACGCGTATTACTCTTTCAACTTTACGTTTTATCTTTACACACCAGTATTAAATTACTAAAAAAATAATCAACGACAAGGTTATAAAAAAAATGTAACTTATTGTATTATAAATTGCGTTTTAGTTTATAAATAAACGTCTTCCAAATTTACCATCCTTATGTTCTGTAATTACATACTTATTCTGCTCGTCATTTACAATGATAACAATGAATTTTGTTGGATAAGCTAAAAAGTTACACAGCCCGTTTCAATTTCTAAACAAATTAAAAATTGTATTTCAATTTGCGTTTAAATTTATTGGCATACATGTCCCCAAAATTTACCAAACGTGATGTTTTATAATTACATATTCTTTTTAATCGTTTAATTTACAGCGATAAATATTAATTTTTGG